GACTTGGCTAAACTTTTAACAAGTATGTAGAGTGAATCAAATATTTGTAATTAATAGTCAATTAATTAGCTCTGCAATTGCCAGTTTTGAATTCACGTCTCTTTGCAACGCAAGTATCAAAAATCGTGTCGATGGGAACGATTAAACTTAATGGTTTAAGTTTAATTATTTCAACTAGAGACCGAATCGGTATTACGGATACCGGAAAAATACCGGTATTTTTAGGTTACTATTCGATACCGGTTTGATGAAACCGAAATANAAAATGAAAAATGGGTTTTCGTCAGTAAAGCGGTACCATACCGGTATATACCGGTATTAAAACCGATTTCCCAAATACCGGTATAATACCTGAACCTCACAATATTTCGGTTTCAGTTTACCGGTATAATACCTAAACCTCAAAATATTTCGGTTTTCAGTCTCTGATTTCAACGACTCATCATTTGTCATTTCTTCAACTGAGATTTCAGTCAACTTTGAAGAAGTGAATTGTACCGTGTCAGTGCTGCGTATATAAAATACACTCGGCGCACAACCCCTTCGATCGGTTCTAACGATATTCGTCCCGTGAGATCTAAAATCGTATCACGAATTCGGGATGTTCGACATCTTCAAGAACGAAACAGAGTTTTCCACACATCGATACTAAATAAATTGCAAAATACCTACAAAACACATCTAAAATATGCAAAGCAAGAGACTTTCGAACGTAGCGAAACAAATTGGCGTAATCAAGTAGATAACAGCGACCGGTTGGACTTGATCTGAACGCGCGTCAACGTAGTCCAACAACAGCCTCGTAGCACGTGCTACGAGGGTCCCTCGCGAAAAGTTTGCCCGACCTATCCGACGGAGTTTGTGCTCTCTCCGCGTTTATAACCTCTTCCACTCTCGGCGCGATACGTCTCGGAAGGCTGCTGGATCCTCCGCGGAGGATTCGACGAATGGGACGAAAGAGGGTGGTGGTGGTGGTGGTGGTGGTGGTGGTGGGTCGACACACACCGTGGAGGAAAGAGGCCGTGGCCAGGGTAGAAAGGGAGGACGGGCGAGAGAGCGAAGGCTACCAGATATAAATTTCCTGATATTCGACCGTTCGTGTCGTTTGAAATGGGGCAGTTTTCTCGGGACCTAATGGTTATTGCCTTTCTCGGCGGACATATTGCGTTCCATCCAGTGCAATGTGTGCGGCCGATATATCAGAGCTCTTCGCTCTCTCGGGTTCGGGCTCTCTCGGATAAGGGTGGCTGTCCGGGGCGTGGGTGTGCGGAAAAGAGAGAGAGAGAGAGTGAGAGAGAGCGAGGAGGGGGGAAGAAGTCTGACGGACAGAGAAGAATAGATTCGGAGACAAGGGGCGAGAGAGAGGAGCAGACAGTCGGTAGGAAAGAGAGAAGAGGAGAGATGTTGAGCGCGCAGTTACCGGAAACCCCTCCGCGGCGGAGCGGCAGCAGTCCGCTCGGTGGTCGTGCCCTGCCAGACTGCAGACGGGAAGTGGCCGAGGTGTGGCCGCGGAGTTGAATTATTACAAGCTGCCCCGACATTCATACAGGATGCATGCCCCGGCCCGTGCCCGTAAATCTTCACCGCTACGTCAGCCCTTGACTTTGCACGCCGCTCGCTCGCTCGCCTGTTCACCGCTTGCCGCCGCCTACCCTCGCTTGCCTCGCTCTGACTTCTGCCTCCTGACTCCCGACTCCCGACTCCCGACTCCCGACTCCTGCCTCCTGCCCGCCTGTTTCGGCCGTTCGCCGCTGATGTTATTATCGTTGGCTTTAAGCGCGAATTGAATAACCGCGCGTTCGTCTCGCATCGACCAGGCCGGGGTTAAGTGATTTTCGCCCCCCCCCCCCTCCAACCCCATTAGCCTTAGATCTTCTTAGGCCGTTTTTTACGCCGTATTTCCTCGGGGCGTCACACGCACGCGTTTTACCCCAATTTTGATGACGCTGAGACGTAATAAAGAAGTATCGATTGATTTGAGAAATTTGTTGGGCAATCGCATCCACCGAATGGATACATTCGAAAAGGGAGATTTTTCTGAACGCGTCAGACGACGAAGAAGGGCGCAGCGTTTGAAAAAACACTGTGACGTTTATAGAGAAATACAAATAAACAGAAACACGTCATAACATTGGAGAATTTCTCAGAATGGATTATTATTATTATTATTATTATTATTGCAAAGATATGTTTCTAATATCTAACGTTAAAAGTAATTCATTAACCACTCGCGCTGGCAACTGGTTCGCGGACCATAACGAGTGACCGAATCGTATACAATAATTCGTCACTTTCTTCTTGAACTCGTCGTGTGATATCACTGGATAGAAATTATTATTGAGAAGTAATAAATTTATTATTTTTGTTTTGTCTGGGTTATGCTTAAACTATACTTAAAACTGAGAAAATACTGCAGTTTTGGGACAAAAAATTCTCGACGAGAATGGAGGTTAAGAACGAAGCAATCAATCACCTCACTCGGTTTCTCGAAATTTTGTAAAACTGTACAATATTATCGGAATGAATATTACGAGCTAATGAGGATATGTTATTTCATCAAGCATAGTATTTAACAACGGAATTCGATGATAACGCTAAGCGAGTCAACACGCCAACCGTGTCGCTCGTGCCTTTAACTGTTTGAAGAAAAGAAAAAAGAAAAAAATCGACACGAGGGACTTTGTACTTCAAATAACTTGAAACGTAGCAACGTCAACAGTGTTATTACAGTTCGTGTCAGATCGTAACTGACGTCGACGATAGAAAATTGATCATTTGATATTAACGTATACACCACGTCCAACATCAACGAAACGTTAATAAGAAGCCGATTCGCAATCGGTTTATAATTTCAATCAATATTAATTGCTTGCTACACACGATCTCGAGTATAACCTGGCTGCTGATTTCAATACCTATCATTAGCATTTATTAGATACAGTTTTACGCGTACTCTACAGCGTAGAAACGTTGCTTTTCGTTCTCAATCCGCTTTTAAAATATGTTGTCTCAGCGCTTGGGCATTATTCATGCTAATTTACCACCGGCCGGCGGACTAAGTTCCTGACGCGTGAAAAATTATCGGCTATCACGAGTGCGGTTTTCAACGTCGTGGAAAATAAATTGCCGAGTGATTGTGCGACAGGCAATTAGATACGTCGACTAGTTTTAATCAACTTCGTGAAATTATTGCCGACCTTATTGGCATAGACCTAGGGGGCCGCGAGAGTATTTGGCAACATTACCCGCTCGTTTCTACGAACCGTCCAACGTTCCGTTTCGTTGCATAAATCAGTCAGCATTTTCTTTGCGCGTTATTGTGTTGCTCAACGTTGCGCAAAACGTTTCGAGCTTTCGTATCGTGTTTCAGTGACACGAAAAAAAACATGTCGTTAGTAATAATTCCGATGTTATTCTCTCATTCGCTGATATTTAGGAAACATTTATTTCTATCGTTCTGAATGTTACAAGATTGTTCGAAAACATGACGTACGTACTGGACAGTGTAAAGAATAAATAATATAAATTCCAATTTTACAAAGTTGAACCTCGAATAATAATAAAATATCTATGCAAGATGAAAACTTTTCCCGCTGATTAAACTCAACTGGAAATATACTTAAATAGCAAGTAAGATTCACTGAGGAATAATTTAAGGAACAATTAATCCCTCAATTTTAACTCTGATAATCTTCTTCTCTGAACTTTAATTAATAATCTTAAGGCAACTTGGAAAGAGAACTTTCTTTTATTTGTTGAACCTTTTTCATTTGACAGAGGTTGTTCAAATAGGATTCGAATCGTTGACGTAATAATACACGCGTGACACGATAATTTAGGAAAGTGTAAAACTTTTAATTTTTTTTTTTTAGCTGTAAGCGTGTGCTGTATATTTGTTAAAGTTGAAGAATGGAAATGCTGTAAAGCTCTCGGTGTGTTGTTACCAACGATACTTGCATTATCTTGTCATGTTGAACTCGATAGGGATTATTCGTCTCAATATCTCGTTCCCACTTTGCTCACCGGCTAGAATTAGCTGCCTCGTCTGGAACGTGTTACAACGCTCTGAATTCAACCGATTTCAATCACGATACATGTAACAATTTGTCACCAATCTCACTAATAAAAATAAATAACATCATTGAATACCTTCTGTCATTCTAATCTTATATACACAGATACGAGTCACTGTAACATCATGTAATATTAAAAATAAAATTTATACGAAAATTAAACGAAATAATATAATATCTAACAAGTAAACGTTGTCCCAATTTCATATTAACGCTAAGTCGTATTAAACGAATTGTTAAAAAATAATTCGTAACAGAGCAGATCCAATCTCGCAATTTAAAACGAAACATTATTCATGGATATTTTTGATTTCAACGGACTAACATTCAATCTGCATTTTACAGTAGTTTATTTAAACTTTTCGCGGAACAAACGTGGTTTATACAGATAATGAAAAACTGTAATTCATCAATTTTCCTTACGCATTATCATTTCTCGTTTACATAGTAAAAATTCATTTTCAACAAAAATTTCGTTCCACTTGCACACACATATCCGTCCTATTTTCCAAAACAAAATTAATAAACGTCCAATTCCGAGAAAATCTCTCTCAGTTTTATGGTTGAAATTATATCGTTCCGAGCAGCGGATCAATCGCACGAGAATAAATTTTCGCTTGCAGGAACAAAAAATTCACGTACGGGCAAACGATTTCAATCACCAAGTTAATCGAGCGCGTCAACTTATAAAATATGCAACGTCGTTCCACCAGTCTGTTTTCACTGAAATTAATAAACAAAATTGCCGTTTAATCTCTCGCGCTTTGTCGTTCGAATTATGTTGTCCCAAACAACGGAGTCAATCGACGAAAATAAATTTTTGAAAAAGAAAAGAACGACGAACGGTGTTTCCGCGTTCGAGGAAACTCCGCCTACGAGCGAACACGGACAAAGCTGCTCGAAATCAAAAAGCGATTCCAGAAGAAAAGAGAGAGAGAGAGAGAGAGAGAGAGAGAGAGAGAGAAAGGGTTCGAGTTAGGCAGATTCTAGCGATCCACTAGGAAATAACGTACAATTTCGAGTTTTACCAGCGGAATAGGACGAGAAAATGGAACAGGGATGCGATGCACGTATCGACAAGCTGGTCACCAACGCGTTCAATGGCAACCCCAAATAGAAAGAAAAGGAGAAAGACGTTGCCTTGTTCGTATACGAGCCGAGGCACTTGGCTCCCCATCCTTCTCCGTTTTCCAGCGGAGAAACCGGCCCGCTCTCTCTCTCTCTCTCTTTCTCTCTCTTTCTCTTTCCATCCTCCTCTGTCGAGCATCGTACACGGTGAGCGCTTTTACAACGGTCAGCGCTCTCTGATGCCCGAACAAATCTCACCGGCAACTCCTCGCATGCAGTCCAATTTAACTAAATCCTTTCCGCTTTTCCCAGGGCCGAGACGGCTGGACGAGAGCGGTAAAGAGACGATGGAAACGGGCGCGAGGACAGGGAACGGGGCGGAGGGAAGAAGCCATACGTGAAGATAAGATTGGAAAAGTTGTATGAGGGGCAACTTTAACAGCTATATAACCATTACGGTGCCGATAAAGTGGAATCTAGTGTCTTAACGGTCTGGAACGAAATTCCGGATATAGCGCAGTATATTCCAATGGAGTTAAACACGACGTTCAGATACTAGTTTTCTACCCGGTGCCGTGAAGGGTGTACATACTGCTTTATTGTTGGCGCGGATCCGTGGAAATGGCAGTCAACCCCCTCCAGGTTCGACAAGACTGTTTTATCACGCACTCGTGCGATCTCTTTCTAAGCGATCCAACGTGTCGTGTGTGTGTGTGTGTGTGTGTTTGTGTGAGCGCGCATGTTGATAAAAGACAACCCCTTGCGCTGGCAACTGGTTCGCGGACCATAACGAGTGACCGAATCGTATACAATAATTCGTCGCTTTCTTCTTGTACTCGTCGATATGATATCACTGAATAGAAATTACTGAGAAGTAATAAATTTATTATTTGCTTTGCCTACTTAATTATACTTAAACATACTTAAAACTGTGAAAATATTGCAATTTTGGGACAAAAAATTCTCGACGTGCGTGACACGTTATTTCGGCGCAAAAGATTAACCACTGATTGCGGACTATAACGAGTGACCAAACCGTATACAATAATTCGTCGCTTTCTTTTTGTACTCGTCGATATGATATCACTGGATAGAAATTACTGATAAGTGATAAACTTATCATTTGTTTCGCCTGGGTTACGTTTAAATATACCGAAAACTGAGAAAAATGTTGCAATTTTGGGACAAAAGATTCTCGACGTGCAAAAGAGAGAATCAGTAGATCAATATTCATACGAACTCCAGTATTGTTCACCAACGAGATCATTTAAACAGTTCAACTGTTTCATTGGTCGTCTAAACAGGGCATTTAATTTTTTCGCGAAAATTTATCAGAACTAAATAATTGATTAGGCACGGAGCGATACAAGCACAAACAAGGGCTATTAATTTCACGTCGTAACGAGCATTGTTGTAAATATAAAAAAACGACGCTGGCACCGGGTAATACGTGTTTATGCTGTAGGCTACGTTTGCCATAACTCACTTACAGGAGTGACAGCTTGCATAATACCCGCGAAATTGGTTTTATAAGACGACGCCAAGCACTGCTTCACAACAATGCCATAAACGCTCCGGTTAAATTACGACTCGACAGTGGCGTAACAACGCAAAGCTTGGAGGAAAGAACGCCGGATCAACCTGAAACGCGCCACGCTTTTTCAAAATCTATTTCGAGAAATGTGAAATTAATCAGTCGAGATATAAATTCCGTGATTTTAAAAAAAACCACATCTGTTATCTGCCGTCATTTGATGTTCACAGTGTCAAGCTTAGTTTTGAGTAAACCCGAAATGCTACCTATATGGCGAAAAATTTTAAAAACATTGAAAAATTACGTATCTTTTAGTTTTCTGCAGGCTGAGAATTTTGCACCAGATAATGACAATTGTTTTCTCGCATTAAATGTATTTATTGAACATCGCTTGGGGTGAAACACGGTGCCAAATTTTTCTACACATGGGCACTGAATGGCGTTGGTACCGTTCGGAAGATTAAAAAAAAAATAAAGGAAGACTGAAAAGTGAGGAATTTGAAAAAGAGACGTTGCTGTATATCGTAACGCGAAATAGCTTGTTTCTTTTGCGAAACGTTGAAAATGGTCACGCGTTGTTACAAACGTATCGTTTATTGGTTAAACGTTTGATGTAATATTGGACGCGATGCAGGAAATTGAATACCCTTCGTGTGGACAGCTATCATTTATACGTGTATGAACTTTGTGACAATATCTGTTATTGATCCCGTATTTTGCTTTGCGTGTTTAATAACGCGATTGCTGTTAAACGCCGCGGAAGAAAATGCGGGATTAAATATTTATTGGGAAAACTGAAAGAAATTAACGGGATGAAGTTTCGATCTTTGCGAGAGCGAGATGGAAATCTCACGATTAAATATTGAACTAAATTTCACGCGTAATAAATAAAATACGGATACGTTAAAAATAAACGGAAGATAATTGGCCAGGAAATTATCATTATGTCTCTAAATTTCATTTTCAGTACGTAAAAAAAAAAAAAAGTTACGAAAGAACTTTGATCCAAGAACGAACGACAGAAATTTTACGACTGAATATTTAATTAAACGTTCCATTAGATAATAAAAGGAAAATAAACAGAAGAAAATTGTATCTCGAAGCGCTCTACGTGATAATGAAAATTTATAAATATTATACCACAACGAGTCCAACGATAAATATTCCAAAGACGTGATTGTTCATTTTGTTGAGGTCGTTGGTACGAACAGTTCAACGTTTCCCGGGCAAGGGCTGATTGCAAATCACGTTTGATAAACAAAAGTGTCATAACTCTACGTAGGTGAAATCGTGCCTAGGTAATGCCTCACGCACAAAGAACTTTACTACTCGCTGAGTTATAATCTCTCGTATCATTGTTTTATGGCGGAACCATAAACAATTCAGACGCACGGCACCATTCGCTTGCGGGGTAAGCAGGCTAGAGCCTGTGATTTACCGAAAGTCGTAAATTTTTTAACTTACTGGCGGATTAGATAGCGCCATCTGAATGTAAATTCATCCTGACAAAACTGTGCCAGCCACGGCATACCGGACTGAAATTTTATTTCCCGTTTATAATGGAGTTTCGGCCTTTTATGCCTTCAGATTTTACGCCAGTGCGCATCATTTACATAAGATAAATACTTTTGGTCTGCGCTCCTGCCCTATTTAGCCAACGGCGGCTTAACCCTGTTACTATGCTCGCTTCGTTTCCCCCTCGTTTGATGATCTCGCGATTTTCTCCTTGGAATAATATCTTTTAAAATTACTCTGCATTTTGTTCGCTCTTATTTCCTTGCGCGTGTCTATTAACCTTTGCGTGAAATATCGGCCGATCAATCTGTTTCGTAAAAAATTTGACAAAATGACTCAGAGATCTTATTATTTTGGAAAATTATTGCAGAGTCTTTACTTTTCTGTATTTATTTATGAATTAGGTGAACAGTAGATTAGACGCTGCAATGACCAGTAGTACAAAAAGGTAATTAACTCTTAATAAAAATAAATTTTCTTAAAATAAATTGACTTTTGATAAAATAAATTAAATTAACTGAAATACTCCTAACAACTTCTAATGAAATAGATTAACTTCTAATAAATATAAATTTTCTGATTAAGGAACAATTTTATTAACAAATAGTGACGTTACTGTGTATTTTCAATGCTAATCAAATTGCTGCCAAAATTTTTCGAAATCGCAACTCGAAAATCGTTGATTAATTTCGTCGCGATGAAACGTTGAAAGTCATATCTTTCTTCAAGAAAGAATTTCAGGTATTTTAGCATCGTAGGCGATTTCTCTGAATCGCAGGCGATTTGCATACCTATCAAAAGTTATTTATTTATGCTAATATGCAACATTGAAACACGCAATGATAAACATGCTCACATAATGGTACATAGAACGAACGTAACATTTGTTTGCCAAGTACATAGTTCCATTGTTGATTAAGCTAAGATTTGCGAATGTGATAAGAAGACTCCTTTCGTAAAATTCCACGAGTGTGACTTCCAAGGAGCACAGGTAAACAATACTATTTCTACACTGATAAAACCTTATCAAGCTTTTCATGGAAGTACTCGAACAATTGTAGCAACATCATTAAAAATATATCTCTACGTACGTTGTAAAAATTCAATAGATATTTTATCATACTACGTTCACACGTGTGCAAACATCATTTTACAAAAATAAATATTTCCCATTAGCTGCTGAAATTAATTCTAAGCTTGCATTGATCTTGAAAGTTAAGAATTTGTACAGAAACTTTTCCTTTACAAAAAAAAAAAAGAAAAAAAGCACACAAAACAAATAACAAATTTATTTAAAAAAAAACACTCGCCACCTATTATCTGTGCGCGCGTACCAAACGGCCATCAGAGAACCGAAAGAAAGAAACTTTCAAATCGATCGGGAAGAAACGATTTCCCGAGGCATCGTTCTCGGTCTATCGCGTTTTCAATCACTCGAGTTCACCAAACGGTAACAATTGATCCTGTTTCTAGGCCATTTGCCGGAAAGCACGATCGTCGTAAAACGGTGGCGCGCGAGAGAGAAAAAGAGAGCAGCGAGGATCCGGCGCGGCGAGAGGCGATGCGCCTTCAAAAACATGTCCACTTTCACGGGACACGAAAACGGGCACGAAAACTACCCGGAGATCGGTGTACAGCACGGTAAGTAGCGGCCATGATCCGGCTGTATGCGCATGGCGTTGTAAGTTCGCTTGCAAACGGCCGAATTATTCAAATGTTCCGCGCGGTTGCAAGTGGTTCTGCGTTACCGTGGCGACGACAACTGGCGCGTTTGCGGAGTCATCCGCGGATGGCATTGCCGCAACTTTCGAGAGTATCCCACGGCGATAAATTGGCGTCGATACCGCGGCCAATTTCCTGAATACGTTTAAGATGTAGCTGCGGTAGCGACGCGTCCCCCTCCCCCTCCGCCCCTTTATGCGCACTCTTCTTTGGAAAGTTGGATCTGAAAAAAAAGAGGAGAAAAGTGAGAAAGAGAATTCAAACGATTTCAAAAGAAATGATTTTTTTCTTTTTTTCTTTTTTTCTTTTTTTTGAGAACAGAATAATTGAACAGATATTCTATTGACTGCATTGTTTACTACACGAAAACGATAAATAAATAAATAATAACAACAAGTGTCGCTGTATAACTTATTTTGTTCTTTCCGTATAATTTTTTGACTCGCGATTTACATATGTTTCAAATTTCACATTAAATCTTCTACGTAAGCAGGTGATACTGCATGAAAATATTATTATTCCTCCACGATAGATCTATCACGTATATAAAATAATATTAAATTCACAAGTTTTCATTCTTCGTAAACCGTTGTTCAAAGTATTGTACGTGAAAGTAAATTAATTGTAATAAAAGTCATGTTTGTGTACGCTTTTCGCAAAAGATAAGTTTCATAGAAATACAAAATATATATATAAATAATCATAGTTGTATAAATCTCGTTGATAATAAGGCTGCTACTCACACTTGTTACTTTCGCGATGAATATAATATTTTTTAATTTAAATGTCACATGAATATGTAATCATAATCGTACATGCAACGAAATATTAATATACAGATCATATAATTTTCCTATTGTATTTATTATATTTCCTATTATAAATTTTATTATAAATTGTATATTATAAACTGTATATTATATTTATATTATAAATTTATTGTATATTATAAACTGTATATTATATTTATATTATAAATTTATTATATATTATAAACTGTATATTATATTTATATTATAAATTTATTGTATATTATATTTCTTTATAAATTTATTATATATTATATATTATTGTATATTATATTTACATTACAAATTTATTATATATTATATGTTATATTTATATTATAAATTTATTGTATATTATATTTATATTATAAATTTATTACATATTATATTTATTTTATAAATTTATTATATATTCGATTAATTCATAGTATTTATCGTACTTATTATATTTAGAACTAGTTACACCCGTTATTTTTCCCATGAATATAACATCAGAAAGAAAATGATTTGAAAAAAAGGAGGGGAAGGGGAGGACAACACAGTGCGAAGTAGTAAAATGGCGGTGATTTGTCGGGACGTGTCGCCTGCCAGATTACCCCTGCAACCCTTGCAACACCTAACCCTAACGGAAAGTTGTTGGAGAATCCGACACTTACGGCCACCCACATCGCGATGAACGAGCCAATTAATATTGCTTCCCTCTTGTACTTGCTGCTGCCCTTGACGCCTTGCTGGATCATCCCCGCGTCTGGAGGATCTATCACTAATATGCAAACTTGCAAGCAATGGGTAGAGTATTTGTAGAGTAACTGTTAAAAATATAATAAATAACTTGTGCTGAATATAGACTATTTTCACATTATACAAATTATATATGTTTATTATATACGCAGATTGTCCAAAGCCTTTCAAGATTGAATTTCATTTAGATCATATAATGTGAGAAAGAACATTCTTTTTGTATTAATCTTTAACAATGGCAACTGAAATCTCTTCTGATATTTCTCTACAAGAGAAATCTAATCTTTCTTTTTACAGATCATAAAATTTCCATCAGAGACATAGAAATGTCTAAGAAAGTAGAAAAACTTGATAATACAATAGAGTACAAACTTTTATTTACTTTTATTTCACGAAAAATATCACTTAAATATCTGGCCAATTGTAAAGTCGTCGTCCTAATTACTACTTTGGTACTAGTTTTAAAATTTCAATTTTTCATCGATCCAAAATCACTCTCTCTCCACAATTTCTATTTTTTTTTTTTTTTTTTTTTTTAATTTCTCTAGCATCAACTTCCCAGTTTTTCATCGTCGTCGACGTTCGTCTCGCAGCTTTCGTAATTAAGACGATTAGCGTTGAGGGACGATTAGCGTTCTGGAAAGTTGATGTCAATCGGAAGAACTCAATTGCAGCGAACGTTTGTTAAAATCAACGTTACACGGCGGTGAAACTAGCAGACACGGTGATGTTAGCAACCTCCATCACTGCCGGCATTGTTTTAATGTTCTGCGTGATTCTGTGCCGCTCTGCGTGATGAGGCTTCCTAATAACCAGTCGCTCACACGTCTAGTTTTACCTCTCTCATCCTCTCTCTCTCTCTCTCTCTCTCTCTCTCTCTCTCTCTCTCTTTCGCGCGCCGTCGACGTCACCCCATACCCGCTACCCGACATCACCAACACCAACCGACCTCTTCTCGCAAGCTGCGAAACTGTGGCATGTCGGCTTCGCATCAATCTTGTTAAATTACCCGCCCGGCCAGGAGTCGTTCTCTCGCTTGTGGATTGATAAATTGCCCGATCCCGTCTTCCGCAGACACGTAACGCTCGACGTCGCGACCTCGAACATAGGGAAATGCTACGAGCTACCAAGCCCCGAAATGCACCGAAGAAAATCAAATTAACGTTCTATACGCGCCACTTCGGCTCCCAACAATCCGGATCCTGCAGCGATTTTACATTTTCGTCGTGTCGAACCGGCAATAAAGTCGATGATTCTTTACGCATTTAATCAATCGCCTTTTTTAACGAAGCGTTCATGTCGTATGAGTATACTCGTCGCGAAGCGGTGGAATTTTGTTGTTCACCGTCGAGTAGAAAAAAGAGAAAGTCGCTTTTGCTATTTATTCTGTAAAATTTAGGTAAGAGAAATTATATGTAATTTTAGCGCATTCTGGGATATTTCGAGGCAACAAAACAAACAAAGAAAATATGCAGAAATTTATCTGTAATCATTTTAATTTTGCGAGTATTTCATTTTTTACATCTATTTATGAATTGATGAAAAGTCTCCAAGCTCTTTTCTCCGCATTGTGAATTTTCAGTGGTTTCTTTTTTTTTTTTTATGGAATAATTTTTCGAAAAATAAAATGTTAAGTTCCGTAAATACCAATAAGATTACAAAATTGAAAAAAGAGGAGCGTAAAAAGAATTTATCATTTTGTTGCAATTTAACTCAATCTTATCAGCAAGTGCATTTACTGTGTTTTCGTCCGCTAATTATACTCGTCATCGCCGAGAAATAATTAAGCACACCGGAGCCACATTCTCAAAATAAAACGAAACGCTCGAGAAGTTGATAAAAATGTGTACATTCCGATGAAAAACTGACGATAATTTGGACTGTTTTATCTGTGATGTTTGTAAAATAAAATCGTACGATGATCTACTTGAACCTCGTTTCAAAAGGAACTTCTGCTTTGACAGTTTTGAATTTGTTTCTTTTTCCTCTTCTCGCGAAATTATCTTCGATCACGTCCAAGAAAATTACGACTCGCTGACAATTATAACGTGAAGCATGGTTATATAATAATGATAATAACATTTAAATTCAAATTTATAATTAATTCAAATCAACTGGGATCAAACAGAATATGAAGATAAAGTTACTATTCTTCCTAACTGTAATAACAAATGTTGTATATAAATATAAAATTATGTAAAAATATAATAATATATATTATATATATTATATTTTGTATAATAATATATATAATATATAAAATATACAAAATATATATAATATATATAACATATATAATATATAAAATATACAAAATACATATAATATATGTAACATGTATAATATATAAAATATGCAAAATACATATAATATATATAACATATATAATATATAATATATAAAATATACAAAATACATATAACATATATAAAATATAAAATATGTAAAATACATATAATATATATAACATATATAATATATAAATAAATACATAATATGTAACATATATAATACATATATAATATATAATATATAAAATATACAAAATACATATAATATATATAAAAAATATAATATATAAAATATACAAAATATATATAATATATATAAAATATACAATATATAAAAAATATATATATAATATATATATATATATATATATAAATGTAACAGTGTAATTGTAACAAGTGTTACACACAAATATATGCAATTACACAAACAAGACAAGAATTGGTTGTTGAACCAACCGATCGTCCAAGGATCCTTCATAACGAGTACGTATACGCGAAATCGTGCGCGGCATTCGCTATCGCTCGGAACACGCCCGATGCCTGGGTGTAACCATCTTACACAGCTTGACCTTTGAGAGCGGTCTGGCCCAGCTATCCTCATTCGGATCTGTCCTATCGCTTTCAACCGAGTACGATGAAGATAACTATCAGCTCGTTACATCTTTCGGTCAGCCAGCAGCGCGGCCATTGGTACACACACACACACACACACAGGGACGAGGAGGGAGGGGGAGGTTGTGTTGTAACTACTAGCGCGAGGTGGTACATACCACCTCTGGCTGGATCACCGGATGAGATAGAAAGAAAGCCAACTAAGCCATTGCTGATAGCGTCTCTAAGCTTGCGGAGCTGGGCTAGAGCCAGTTCGCGCGTCAGTGGCTAATGGCTGGTCCGCGGCTTTAGCGCGACAACGCGACCATGTTGAGTCGGACCAACGTAATCCTTACATATGGCCAGATTCCGTGGGATTAGGAAGGCGCGAACCCATTGTGCTTGTTCCTCCGTCTCTCTGTTGACTATCCTCTCAATATTTAGTATAAGCTGCCGGCTACTTTCGCGAAACGGTGCATGGAATATTCACTTTGCTT